GAGTCAATCAATATAAAGAAAAAATCATTTCTTCAATTAACTAAAATGCAAGATGGAGTAATATTCAGTGTGTATAGGAAAGATAATATATTAAAAAATGAAAGATTAAAATACTGCAAACTTTGTAAATATAAGATAGTAACAGTAGAACACATTCTACTATCTTGTATTTGTCATAATAAATCACAAATTGAAAAATATGATAATATTTGTATTCTCATATTAAATAATAATAAAATATATATGAAATAATCAATATATGAAATTAATATATGAAACAATGTTCAAATACAATGATATTATTATGATATTGATAAATAATATTAAAAAGTAGTTAATAATATCATAAAATATCAGATATATATGTAATAAATAAAAAGAATAAAAATAATCGATTATTTGATATGAATATTATTATATATCACAATATTAATAGAATATAATTGAATAAAAGAAATAAATATAAAGAAATGAATAATGTGATGATTAAAATAAAATATATCAAAATAATTAATAAATTCAATAAATTAATTAATAAAATTTGAAAATATTAAATTCATTAAATAATTAAAAATCGAAATTAACATCATTAAAGAAATTAAAAACCATGAGTGATGATGTTATTGAATAATACTTCAATCATAATAGAACACATATACTCAAATTAATTAATAACAAAGATAGAATTAATCCGCAATGAACATTGAACATTATAAGATAATTCTATCATCACTTAATTATTTATTTTATTCTTTTAATGAGAAATATTTTCTTTATCTCTTGAAACCCAATATTGTAAAGTACTTGGTGATAAATCTCCATAAATATTACAATAATCATTTTGAAGAACTCTTGCTGCTTTAGATAATCCAATTAATTTTGCTTTTTCAATTGCAAATGCCTTTTCTTCAGGACTCCAAAACCTTTTTCCTTTTCCTTTCTTTGGAATAATTGCTTTAACAATTTTTGGTGTTTTTATAACTCTGCTTTCTGGTATTTCTATGATAGGACTTGGTGTAGATTGTATAACACTTGGCTCATTATAAATTATTACTTCATACAATGACCTTTCAACTGGTTTAAATATTGACATTACCACTTCTTCTTTAATTGTGTTTTTTAATTCTTTAAATTGGGTTTAAATAATTGAAGGGTTTGGACATTTCCAACGATCTTTTTCATTTTCTTGAATTTTCTCTCATTTTTCTTTTCAAAAATCTTTTTTCATTTCTTTCAATCTTATTCTAAATATTTAATTCTTCTTGATTCTCTGATTTTTCCTTATTCATGAAAACTCTACCAATTTTTTTGAAGTTCCTTTCTTATTCTTTGAAGGTCTTTAAATTTTACATACAAATAATAACTATATATTACATTATTAATGTCTAAAATATAATATTCAGTAATTCTCCAATACAAAAGTTTTCCAAGAAATGAAAATTTTAATCAAAAACTAAATTTGAAAAAAATAGATTTTGATAAATATATCATAAATATATTTTTGTTATTGAGATAAATGTTATTTATAAAATAAAGAAACAGAAAAATAAAAATAGAAAGGAACTAATAAAGTTGGAGAAATACAGAAGAAACTTAAAAAAGAACTGAAAAAGTACAATACATGTCACAAACAGACCCACTTGATTATGCTTTAGATCTTATGAGAAGACTTCCCCCACAAAAGGTAGAAGATAATCTTCAAATGTTAATAGATCTTTGCCCAGATTTAACAGATGATCTTCTTTCAGCAACAGACCAACCATTAAAAATTGTTGAAGATACAACTGCTAAGAAGTCATTTTTGATATGTGATTATTGTAGAGATGGAGATTCATATAGATCACCATTTTCTAACAAATATTTCCCAGCATTCCCAGAAGGAGGACTTCCAAGTGATGAACTGAGACAATTAGAAATTAGTTTAAATGATGCATTTGATATGTATAGAGAAATGTATTATGAAGGAGGAGTCCATAGTGTATACTGTTGGGATATTGATGATGGATTTGCTGTTTGTGTTTTAATGAAGAAAACAGCAGACCAAAGTAAGAAAGGAAATCCAATGAAAGGAACATGGGATTCAATTAATGTAATTGAAGTTATTCCAAAAGGGTCATCAAAAGCAGAATATAGACTTACATCAACAGTAATTCTTTATATGGAAACAGACTGTGAAGCAACTGGTAAAGTTGGATTTGCTGGATCGCTTACTAGACAAAATGAAAAGGTATTATCTACTACTCAAAAGGATTCTCATATTATTAATATTGGTACATTTGTTGAAGAAACGGAAAGTAGAATGAGACAAATTCTTGATGCTATTTATTTCAGCAAGAGCAAAGAAATTACCAATAATTGCAGATGCCAAATTGGAGTTTCAGAACAAAACAAGAGAACATTAATGACCAAACAAATTAACACCCAACTTAGAGGAAGACATGATGATGATTAAGAAGTAATCAATCTCTTTTTCACTCATTTCATTTTCACTTTTCATTTTTTTAATCTTATTTCAATCTTATTATTTATTTTTAAGTTCAACTTCAAAAATATTTCTTTTTTTATTATAAATTCAATTCTACCCAAGAAGTTCAAGTTTTGATAGAAAAAGTACTCTCATTAATAACTCATCCATCAAGTTGAACAACACAACACCTTATTTTGTCATTGTTTTATCAATGGGTGTAACATTTGTTAGTAAAAGAAAAAATTATTTGATGTAAAGTAAAGGTACCCTTAAAGGGAAAGCAATAAAATAAACCTCGTGATAAGAAACAGAATTTTTAAAATGAAAGAAAAAAACAAATAAAGTAAGAAAAGAGGAGTTTTAAAGTATTGAATTTCAATTTTTTAGTCATCAGTAGTTATGTAAAACACTAAAAAAAAGTTTTTTTAGAGTTACATGATTTAGTACTTCATTATATTAAGAAAATTAAATGAAGTGGGATATTATTAATTTTTGTATGATAAAATATTAAAGTTAATAGTTTAATAAATCTCATACTAAAATTTATGTTTAAGTTATTTTTTTTTAAATCAACCATCGATAATTTATTTTTGATTTTAATGAAGTTTAAATAATTTTTATATAGTTTTATATAACATAATTTCCAGAAATAGATTACGAATGATGGAGAATAAAAAAATTTTTTCTGTTTAAATTAACCCTTTTTAAGAAGAACTTTAATTATCAAAAACAACAAAAAGATGAGTAAATCCGTCATTCCATTAACAGTTTGAGAGAAATAATTAAATCACTAAAACGTTTAAGAAAAAACATTGATATATAGATTATTTTAGTAGGAGGTTCTGGAGTTGGGAAAACTTGTTTAGCTAATCAACTTGTCAATGTTTGTGACTAATTGATTTTATTAAATGAAAAGAAAGATGTGCTCACATAAAAGAAATGTTTTGATGAGTCAACAGAATCTACATCTGGAACAGATTTGTTTAGATACAAAATGGATCTTGATCAATGTGTTGTTGATTTGACACTTAAAGATACTGTTTGTTATTTTATACTATTTTTTGTGTGTTATTATCATATAAGTAAGTTCTTAAAAAATAAAATAACATAGTATTTATTTAGTAGTGTGGTCAAGAGCAATATAGATCTCTTGTTGCACAATTTTATAGAGAAACTCAAGGTGCATTAATTGTCTATGACATTACTAGGTTTGTTATTTTCACTAAACCTTAAAAAGTCAAAATGGTTTTTAAAAGAAAAATAAGAAAATTTATAAAACTTACTTTTTGTTTAGTCGGGATAGTTTCGAAATTGTACAAGATTGGATCACTGACGTTTGTTCATACTGTCCTCAAGGTGTTAAAGTCATGATTGTTGGTAATAAGATTGATTTGGAAATGGAATCTAGAGAGGTTTCATATGAAGAAGGGAAACAATATGCCAACGAACGAGGATATGAATTTTTTGAAACATCTGCTAAGTTGAATGTTAAGGTTGAAGCCGCGTTTAGGGGGCTGGTTCAAAGTATTTTACAATCTCGTAATTTCCAAACAGAAGTTCAAACAACTACAAATGAACCAACAATCAAACTACAAAAACAAAGCACTAACAAAACACAAGAACAAGTTGAACAAGAAAAGAAAGATGGGTGTTGCTAAGAAGTTTACTTTTTATTTGTCATTTCTTTTTTATTTTTAGGGAAAAAAATGGAAAACATAGAAAGAACTTAAAAAAATAATTTAAGTTTGATGGAGTCAAAAGGAAAGATTAAAGAAGAAAAAGAAAGTGTTGTTGAGGAAAAGAATAAAGATAAAGCACCAAAGGGAAATGTTAGTGAAAAGAAAAGAAAGTCAAGAAATGGATTTGTATTACATTCTAATGCATTATTATATCTTTTATTAAAAAAAGGGTGGACAATTCAATTAACAAAAACAAAAACTGCAAAAGTAACACTTCAAAATTATAAGTGTATTCGTTTATATAAAAAAGGAATGATGATAGAAGAGTATATTAATGAAGAAAATTTAAATGAATTGTCTTCTTTATTTGAAGATATTTTTAAAGCAAAAGAGTGTTCTGATGACAAAAATATTAGATTAGAACAAGCTGACTTAATACCTCATGAAAATTCTTCTGAAACTGTAAGTGATGATAAAATTGAATAATAATTCATCTTGTTTTATAAAAAACATTTCTCAATTAAGTGGGACATCTCTTTGATCTGGAGTCCAGTCTGGATATTCAGAAACTTTTCTTATTGGTCTTGCTGGACTTCCAACTGCAATCATATCATCTGGGATATCATGAGTAACAACACTTCCTGCACCAATCACTGCATTCTTTCCAATAGTTACACCTGGAAGTACGATAACTCCAGCTCCAAGCCATGCACCATCTTTAATGACTATTGGCTTTCCTAAAGCAGTGCAAGCACCGTAATTTCTTATTTTTTCACAAGTCGTATGAGAAATACCAATTAAATTACAATTTGGACCAATAAGAACTCTATTTCCAATAGTAACAGGTCCTCCCTCAAGAACAGTACAATTAAAATTAATAATACAATTATCTCCAATACTGATGTATCTTCCAAAGTTACAATAGAATGGTCCTATCATTTTTACGTGTTCTCCTACATGACCAACTATAGTTTTAAAAATTTCCATTCTTTTTTGAGCATTCCATTCGTTATTATATTTGACAAGTTTTTCATTTAAAATTTCATCATCAACAGCAAGTTCAGGGAAATCACAAAAGAAAAGCTTTCCTTCACAAAGACTCTTAAATTCTGTTTCAGAAGTATGGTTAGTCATTATATAAACAAATGAAAGTCGAAGTTTATATAAATAAACCTTTTCCTTCAATAAAGTTCTAAAAATACTGAAACGACGAAAATGAAGAAAATTCCAAAGAATGAGAGAAAATATAATCAAAAACTATTAACAGTGATTTTATTTAAATTATTTACTTTGGGTTAAAACTTCATCAAATTCAAGAATATTGCCTGAAATTGCTACTGATTGACTTCTGCTCTTCTTTTCAAAATCTTTTTTGATGAATTTCTTCTTTTTTAGAATTGCTTCTACTTGTTGTCTTTCAATAGGATTTAGTTCAATACTTTTGCAATTGTCTAAAGAAAATAGTCCTGCATTTCCTCTTTCATCAATACCAATTGCCCACCCACTTCTATGAATCCAAACAACATTGACGTGCATTCCTATAACTAATGAAAGTATTTTTTCATTGTCAAATTTATTTGGTTGTTTTATTACTTCTACTTTCTTAATTGTTGTCCAACGTTCTTTTGGAACTCTTTGAATGATGTTATAACAATGTATATATCCTCTATTAATTGCACTTTCAGCAGGTGTCAATCCTCGTATATCTTTGATCGTACAATTACAACCATTCTCAACAAGAGTTGAGACTGCTAGTGCATCATTTTTGATAACAGCAATATGTAATGGTGTTCTACCACACCCATCCTGAAAGTTCATTAATAATGGGAATTTTTTCAAAATTAATGGAAGTAAGTAAATGAAACTTTTACTACAACAATAATGAAGGAAATTGAGTTTATTCTTATCTGGTTGGCAGGTGGTTGTTGGTGCTTTTTTAAGTAAATATTTAACTATGTCATAACCACCTCCCAAAACAGCATAATGAACAGGACTTCTTTGTGTAGTTGTAAAACAAACAAGTGGATGATGGTATTGTTCTATTAACAAAATTACCATTTTTAACTTTTTTGTCAAACATGCAATATGCAAAGGTGTTTCTCCAATAAAATTTGGTTGACTAAATAATTGACCTGCAAGTGAGTATAACCATTTGACAACACAAAAGTTAGAATTTTGAACAGCATAATGAAAAACAGTATTTCCATTATAGTCTCTATCATTTATAAAACTTGGATCAATATTGAATAATTGTTGCGCTATCTCTAGTTTTCCATGAGCCACAGCACAAAGTAATGGAGTTGTTCCAGAAATAGTTTTAGTTTGTAGAGAGGCTCCTTGTGTAAGTAAATATTTTAATGATTTTGTATTTCCACATGCAATTGCTAATGTCAAAGGGGTCATCCCATATGAATTTGATTTAGAAAAGTAGTGTTTATTAGGATAAAAGTAATCAATAGTATTGATATCATTTGATTTGAGAGCACAGTGGAAGGGATAATTACCATTAGTGTCAGTCTTATTTAAGGAATCATTATCTAACTCAATAAGTTTTTTAATTAATGATAAGTATCCTATTGATGCTGCATGATGAATTGGTAGTTGGCCATAGTTATCGGGAACATTTAGAGGTGACAATGGAAGAAGAATATTAATTGTGCTAGTTTGTTTATGTTTTATTGCAACAATAAGTGGAATTTCACCCATCTCATTTTCAATTTTTGTATTAGCATCATGTTTCAATAACCATTGGAGTGATTCATTTGTTCCATATCTAGAAGCTATGTGAAGAGGAGTAGATATTCCATCATTACAATTATTATTTACTAAATCAGTAATACACCAGAAATTATTTAATTTATCTAAAAATTCTGAACTATTAATAAATACTGCATAATGAAGAACAGAATATCCTCGTAAGTCTATTGCTGCTAACATTTCTCTTCTACAATGCTCAATCAAATAAATAACAACTGAGAGGTGATTGTTTCTTAAAGCACTAAAGAGAGGAATGACTCCTTTTTTGTTATACACCATTGGTTCAGCTCCTAATTCTATTAATTTCTGAACAGACTCCAAAAAACCAAGGGCACAAGCAAGGTGTAGGGGCGTATTTCCCTTTTCATCTATACAATTTACATCAATTTCTAATGTATGAACAATATAGTCAATAAAATCAAATCTATTTTTATAAACGACAATGTGTAATGCCGTAGGTGTTTCCTTTAAACTTTCTTGTTCTTCAACACTTGGTCTTTCATTAAAGTATCCGAAGGTGAAAGGATTACATCTTTTCATTTTATTCTGTTATAATTAACAGTTCTTCTTTAAATGAACATTAAACTAACTAAAATATTTATATAGTAAAATTAAAAATAAAAACTTCAAAACCAAATTTGAGGATTAGAGTTTCTTATTATCCTTAAAACGAGGAGAAGTTGGTAAGAAACCTAAAAACAAAGGTTCTGAAGGAGAGACTTGCATAACTTCTTTCCAGTTTAATAAAATTGATTTATAGTGTTTGTTTGGGGTCCAACGTTTTTCTTTGAAAAGTGTTGCTAGTGTTTCTACTAATTCTTTTGAGGTATAATTAAAAGTAATTGTTATAGCAATAAAACCCATTTCCATTGTCAAAGCAAAAGTCAAATTTCCAAAGAAGAGTGAGATAAATACTAACACGAAATATGGGAGTTGTGACTATTTAGATTAGTTTTTTTTTTAAACTTATAAAATTCATGATAAAAGACAGCAAATACGAAAAGAAACAAAGAGGTGTAACAAACTATATCAACATGAGTAAATAATAAATAAACATGACAGTCAACAATTAACATAGAAATCCATAAATAAAAAAGAAAAAGAAAGAAATACCTATAATTGTGAAATCCTAAACTATTACCAATAAATCCACAATAATGATCATATCGATAAATACATTTATTTGAAGTATTACAATGATGAACTCGATCTCCTTTATAAATTTTACAATTATCACAATATTCATATTTTTCTTTGTCTTTTTCATTAATTTTATAATATTGTTCAGGTATACATTCAGGTGTGATATAGTGACATTGATAAAAATTATACGTAACTAAAAAATACATAATATTTCCAAGAATAAACCAAAAAATATAATGACTTTCATCTCCATATACCTTTGGTAAAAGAAAGATAATTAATGTCATTATTAAAATGTAAGTAATACCAATTAATGGAAATATAATATACACAGGTATTTTTTGTAATTGTTCACGCGTAAAATATAACTTGAGAAAATCCTTATTTTTTTTGGTTTGTTGTGGTTGTTCACTCATTTAATTTTCTTTTTAATTCTAAGTTCTTTTACCAAATTTTTACTAGAAAAAAACATACCCCTTTTTAAAAATTTGTAATACATCACAATAAAAATCCATTTCTTTTTATTCACGCTCGCTAAATGTTAATTTAAAATATAGTCTGAAATATCTTCATTGTCATTACGTTGTACAGAATATGATTGTTTTATTCTTTTTTTTGAATTTGTCTTCTGTCTAATTACTATAAAAAGATATTCTAATTGACAATAATAGATTGCTTGTAAATTTATTGTTCATAACAAGTAACTTTATATCTAATTAACTCTCAATATAGTGTCTGTCCTTCCTTTGTTTATGTAAAATAGTACCTAGATTAAATTTTGTTTATTTTTATAATAATTTATAACACTTTCAATAATACAATGATTATTTTCAGATGAAAGTTTATTGTCATCTAATCTAATTGAATAGTGTTTGAGTTCTCTTTTTACAATACTAAAAACAAATTCTTTTTTTCATTAACCTCAACTTATTTCTAAAAATTGTTTATAACAATTTCTATTTTTTTTTAAAAACTAAGTTATTTTGGTTCACTAAACAAGTTGTACTAATGTGAACAATACTTTTTTCAGCAAAAAACTTCTTAGAAACAAAATGAAATTAAAAGTCAACCTCACATCCACCCTAATGGGTAATCAAGGTGGATACCATCATACTTTGATCCTGTTAGTTGAGTGTTCTTATGTTTTTTTTTTAATTCAACTCCATCCGTTCCCATTGTTCCATAGATCTTCCCTTCCCGCTTCAGCACAGTCACTTTGAACTCATTATCAAAAAGGCAAACATTATGAGCACAGTGACTCAACTTTTCACAGTCCTCTTCACTTTCATAAACTAACTTTACCACTTTACTTTTATCATCAATAGAACAAATTTTGAAGCTTAGAATATTACCAATACAATTAAAATAACGAAACATAACATCGTTTGTAACATTCGAAGGAACTCTCAACCAGATTTTACCCTTTGAGTTTTCCATACCGTCTATTCACTCACACTCTCTTCTTAAATATGTACTGGCTTTTCATCTGGAGGTGACTTTTGACTCAATAAGATTAAATCCTGTCCAAAAAATAAATTTACTGAACTAAGTTAGAAACTTATTTCTTATCCTTTCAATGAAATAAATTGGGATGTTTTACAATTAAATTTAAATTAAAAACACATTGTTCTAACACAAATTAAATACAAACATTGTTACATAGATTTTAGTGATGAAAAGGATATGGTTTTAATTAAAGTTTTCAAGAGGATAATTTTATGTTAAAACACTCTTTATTAAAATAAAATTTTTGTTTTTCAAAAGAAGAAGAGTAATAAAAGAAAAGGGTGAACTCTTTTTTTAATGTCAAGTTATTGTTTATATAATAAATAACTATTTTCAACAGTAAATCAATCAAAAAAGTGTAAATTTAAATCAATCCTTTTGTTTCTGTAACTGGACAATAACTAATGGGGTAATTGCGTGATGCCTATGAACTTGACATAAACGTAATAATTGTTGGACTTGTTGTGGTTTAAAGTCTTTGGAATATCTTTGAACAAAAACTAACAATCCTTGATGCCATAATAGTGGTGTATCAACTTTCTTATCAATAAATCCAATATAATAATTAGCAACAGCATCAAGAGCAGCATATGGAAGAGAGTATTTTTTATCTAATAATGTTTTCAAAAACAGAGCTTGAGTAGAATTGTATTCCATTGTTGACAATTTATAAAGTGCAACTGCGCTGTGTTTTGAAGGAATAGAAACCTTGTGTAAAATAGATGCAATGATTGTAGCCTCCTTAAGAGTGACATCTTTCTCTTGACAAAGAGGGAAAATTAACCCCTTAAAAAATGCTTGTGGTCTGTAAACTGCTTTTTTAAGTGCTAAATATTCTTGAAAATGTAATTTTTTGTTTTGATGAATTGAATGTCTGATAATTGGATATAAAAAGACTTTGAAGAATTGTTCTGTTTCTGAATTAGTTGTATGAAGGAATAAACGTGTTGCTGCAAATAAACTATGTGGAGTCCATTGTGATGGATTAGTCATTTGTAATAATGGAATCCATTCTTCAAATGATGGAAGTAATTTAAAAACTCTTGGTAATTTTCCAACATGGTAATGACTCAGAAAAGTTCCAAGTTCTTCAAAAATCTTTTTAACTTTCTGTGGATAAACTTTTTCTTTTATTGTCTTTTCTTTTCCTTCTATTTGGTTATTTTGTTCTTTTTGTTTTTCTTTCTTTTCTTCTTTCTTAATATCTTCATATTGTTGTGAAATCATTGTATTAACATCAACCACTTGAACATCTTGAGAAAATGCTGAAAGAAGTTTCTTTGTTTCTTCATCAATATTAACATCATATTCTTCATTATCTTTATCATCTTCACTATCTTCAAAATCATCACTTTCAAGGTCTTCCATTTCCATCATTTGTGCTTCATCTTGTTCTAATTCTTCAATTTGTTGATGTTCATTCACTTTTTCTTCTTCCATTGCATCTTTTTCTTCTTTTAATTGTTTCATTGCTGACTTAACAATTTTTTTTGATTCTTGCTCATTTAAGACTGCTTCATCTTGTTTTTCGACTTTTTTACTTTTTACTCGTACTGATTTGTGTGTTTTTTGAGCTTCTTCCATCTCCTTTTCAAGAGGTAATCGACTTTTACTTGCTGGTGTTTCATTTCCTTCAACAGCTCTATGTTTTCTTTGTCCTTTCATTACACTTTATCACTTTTCTTAAAAAAATAAAAGGGTAAAACAACCCTTTTCATATAACATTTTTTTAAATTATGTTATTTAAAAAATAAATTCTATTTTAATAAGAAATAAAAATCTATTTAATTTTATATCTTTTTTATAAAATAATTAGCATCTATTCTATTTTTATTGATATCCATTGAATTAATAGAAGTCTTTAACTCGTTATTCTTTTAATGAATAAATTTGTTGCAATAGGTTTAATGTTATTTTCTTCAATCACTTTATTCTTTGGAATGACTCCTATGATAGAACAACAGAAAAACATGAAGAAGATTATGATATATCCTGAAAGTCTCAATAGTACACATCTAGAAATTATTAAAAAAGAATTAAATGCTACACATTCAAAGAATAAAACAAATTCAATCAAAAATACTATAAACACAACAGTCATAAAACAAACAAATACATCTTTTCAAAGAATACAGAATGTTAGTCATTATGAAAATAAAACTTTTAATACCACTAATATTTATACTTTAGCTGAACCAATTATAAAAGAAAAATATATAAAATTAATTGGTGTGTCAGTGATTTTATCAATTATCCTTACTTATCTAACTTTGTGGCTTTTTTCTTGATTTATTAATAACACAATTGAAATAATTTTTTGTTATTCAAAAATTTTATAAGAACTGATGAAAAATCTTTTTAAAATATCGTTTGGGAATAAACATGTATGATGAAGAAATTTATAACGTGATGAAAACGTTTCTAGAATTTGAATTTACTGATGACACAACAACAAAAGCAATTAAACCGTCTAAAAACAAAGATATGATCTACAGAATTGAACAAAAGTTTCATAAGAAAGATGAAACACCAAAAGCCACTGAAAAGAAACCTGTTCTCAAAATGACAATTTCGTTAAACCATTCCCAAAAGGCAAAAGAAAATGAAAAGACAGAAAGTAAAGTAACAGAAAAGGATTCTCGTGGAAGAGAAATTGAAAGAAAGTCATCAGAAGGAAGAAGTGATAATAAGCGAAGTAGTGAAAACAAATCACCACATAGATCAAAAAGATCAAATAGTCGATCAGCCAGAAGACATAGTCATAGTCAAAAAACAAAAGAAGAAGATTCTAAAAAGAAACTACCTGAACGTAACCTTTCAGAAGATGCAAGAACTCTCAAACATAAAGGAGATAAATTAAACAATGATGAAAGAACAGATGATGCTTTATTGTGCTATTGTGAATCACTCCTTTGTTATGGTCAACTTATATTAAGAAAAGAAATGACAAGATTAAATATTGGTGAGTTATTGGAATTTGTTATGAGAGAAGCAGAAAAGAATCAACGATCAGAAATTGCTCGTGGAGTATCTAACATTTTAGCTCAATTATATTTTTCATTATTTTCATATGATCATGCATCAGCCCTCCAATTTCTTCAGGACAAAGTCCCAGTTGGAGATGAAATGGCACCAAAGTTATTACACCAACTAGATGGATTGAAAAAATTGAATCGTTAAAAATTCCTTTTCAATTCAATTAAAAATATCAATAATTAATATAATCCTTCAAACAGTAATTTATAGTATTGTTCTGATAAATAAAACTCTTTTCCTAATACACTTACATTTGATGATTGAGTTGGTTTATTTAATGTCCATCGTTTATTAGTGTCTCCGTGTTGAATAAAGTCTTCATATAATATTCCCACTAGTTCATTTAATGTCATCTTCTTTCCTATAGCATTCATAAGGTCTGTGAGATGTTTGTGTAATGTTTTCTTCATTCGAATACGACTTGTTTCATCTCCTGCTTTACTTGGCTTTCCTTTTTTCTTATCTTCTGTACTCTGTTCCATTTATTTTGATTATAGTTTTAAGTTCTTTTTATTCTTTTTGTGAATTCTTTGTAATTATTATAGACGATATTTTACAAAACACCATTTGTCATCTCTCTTTTCAATAAAAAGTACTTTATGGGAAGAGAAAAGAATTATTTTCAAATTTGTCACTTATAAAAGAATCTACAAACAATAATGATTGTTCAAAAACAATCATAGAAATTTTTTCATAACCTGAGCCATCTTAACACAATCGAGAAGGAGTAAAAAGGTAATAATAATAAATTAAATGATACTTAATGATTTAGAACAAATTGATTTTAATTCAAGAAGTAAAAGAAAGTAAAGAAAAATAATAATTATAAAATAATTATCAAAGAATAGATAATTTAATTTATTAAAGGAAAAGAATAAATAAGCAGTTAATTAAGTATTAATAGAAATATTTTATATTGTTCATTGTTCAGTGGAGATTAATTAATCACTTTGTTTTAAAAGTATTTGTTCATCAACTTTTGGATTATTCTTTGATTTTAGTTGTTGAATTATGATAATTTCATTTTCTCATTTTTGATGTGGAATAGAATATTTTAAACATCAATTATTTAAATATTCATTATTTAATTTCTATTTAATTTTGATGAGTATTAAATTTCTTCTTTATTTTCTTATTTTAAGAAGAATATATAATTACTACTATATTACTATAGGTTAATATTCTTTTTACCTCAACACTAAATCCTTTTCCTTTGATAATCTTTCTTATATTATCAGATATACTTGTATTCTAATAAGTAATAATACCACTTTATAAATACCCATTCTTTTATTATCAATGATATCCCATCATTGTACATAATAAACACTATTATTCTAGCAGTATTGATTAAGATGTTTTTCTAACCAAATACAACATTATAATCAGTCCATAACTGGTGTATTTGAATGATGATAATATTTTAGGGTATTGTGTTGTGTATCTGATATGCTATATTCGAATCCATAATGTTATTTAAAATAATAAAAAATAAATAACATTTAATTTAAAATAATAAAAATGAAATGATGTTTATTAAAATAATAAATAAAATGAGTATTATAAACGTGTATTTAATTATTTAATCATCTGATTTTAATCTGATATTCATTAAATTAAAATGGAAGAGTTAATAAACAAGAACACTCATTTCTTTAAAGAAGAAATAGAAACAATTCCAAATATTCAACAATCAATTGATGATATTAATAAACAATATCAATATTATTTAGGAAGTATTAAAAATGAAATATTTAAAATAAAACCAGATGAAACATATTCAGAAGCTATTAAAAGAGGAGAAGGAATATTTGATAGGATTGATGAAACAGAAAGAAGAAGAAAACTAATAATAGAAAAAAGTCAAGAAACAATTAAAGTAGTTGAAATAATTAAGGATAAAATGAAGAAAATAATAGAAGAAAGTAATAACGATGAAGAAATACTAAGTAAAACACGGAACGAAATAATCAATAAAATCATTTCAATTGAAGAAATGGTGATGAAAGATAAAATATTCAGAACACCAGAAGAAAAAGACAAAATCACAGAATCATTTAACAAAAAGAAAGAAGAATGGAACACATATTATAGTGATTATTTTGAGAAGAAGAAGATAAAAGAAGAAGAAGAAGAAAGAAAGAAACAAGAAGAAGAAAAGAAGAGAAAAGAGGAAGAAGAGAGAAGAAGAAAAGAAGAAGAAAGAAAGAGACAAGAAGAAGAAAGATTAAGAATAATGAAAGGAATGAATACAATTGAAGAAATGAAACAAATAGAAGAATGGACAAATAGAAAAGTATCGAATATACTATTTGATTCAGATATTGATGATTGGAATCAGAATACATCCGTATTTAATCAAAGAATAATAAATAAAGAACATATAATAATTATTATTGAAGATACAAATGGAAATAAATTTGGAGGATATGTTAATGAGAAAATTGATAAAGTTGATTGGTGGGTAAATGATTCAAAATCATTTTTATTTTCATTAAAATCAAAAGGAAGAATAAAAGGAATGATGAAATTTGATATTAAAGAACCACAACATGCATTTTGGTTAAATAATCAATCACATAATTGTTTGTTTGCATTTGGATATGGATTAATTGGTGGTGATATTTGTGTTTATAAAGAAAATAATAAAACAAAATCATCTTGTAAACAATATTCATATGAATATAAAGGAATATCAAATGCACTTTGTGGAAAACAATATCCAGAATATTTCACACCACAACGAATTATTGTAATTGAAATGAAATAATTTTTATTCATTATTATTTATTTGAAATATAAAAATAAAAAAGAATATAAAATAAAATCAATAAATGAATATGAACAGCCATTTCTTTCATCTGCCAATGAATGAAATGGTGAATATAAAAATGGACATATTTCATTCTGGTTTTATTTTTATTTCATTTGAAATACTCACACCCAATGAGGGTGTTAATTTAATAAATAATAAAAAGAAATAAGAATAAAAGATAAATAAAAATATAATAAAATATTTATTTTATTCTTTTTTATTTATTTTTTTTTTATTTATATTATTTTATATTTATTTTATTTTATTCTTCTTCTTTTATCTTTATATCTATTATATATTTCTTATTTTATTATTTATTTTATATTCTTATATCATTTTATTCTTATTTTATATTTATTCATTATTATTCATTTCATATTAACATTGATAAATAACAATACAACATATAATAAATAAATGATATAAGATAAACAACAATAAATAATAATAATAAAATATAAACAAACAATACAAACAAATATAAAATGATAAAAAGATCATCTAATATAAAATAATAATAACAAAGAATAAAAATAAGAAATAAATGATGTTTAGAACAGAAAAAATTGACAAAAAGAAGAAATGAGTGATGTTAAGAAAAGATAAAAATCAATATAAAATAAAATATAAAATAAATATAATAAATAATAAGAATAAGAATGATTATTTCTTATTTTTTATTATTATATTATTCTTTATGATTCCAATGTGGTGTGTCAGATACACCACACAATACCCTAAAATATTATCATCATTCAAATACACCAGTTATGGACTGATTATAATGTTGTATTTGGTTAGAAAAACATCTTAATCAATACTGCTAGAATAATAGTGTTTATTATGTACAATGATGGGATATCATTGATAATAAAAGAATGGGTATTTATAAAGATGATGTTATTACTTAATATGATACAAATATATTTGATAATATAAGATTATCAAAAAAATGGTCTGTTGGTTGATTCTAAAAAGAATATTAACCTATAGTAATATAGTAATAATTATATATTCTCTTTAAAATAATAAAATAAAGAAGAAATTTAAACACATTAAAATCAAAAAGAAATTAAATAATGAATATTTAAATAATTGATGTTTAAAATATTCTATTCCACATCAAAAATGAGAAAATGAAATTATCATAATTCAACAACTAAAATCAAAGAATAATCCAAAAGTTGATGAACAAATACTTTTAAAACAAAGTGATTAATTAATCTCCACTGAACAATGAACAATATAAAATATTTCTATTAATACTTAATTATCTACTTTTTCTTTGTTTTTTTCAGATCCTTTTATCAATGCAGAATATACATCAAATTTTGTTGCCATGGCTATTGAGTAATGTTATAGAGTCTTATAAAGAAAATCAAACAAGACACAGGTATTCAAGTTCAAAGAAAAGAAAGGACTTCAATAACAATAAAATACATAATAATTATGATAAAAGAAATAACAAGAAAAAAGTGAATAGAAAAAGAAGAATACAAGTAAAAACAAATAAGAAAGAAAGTAAATATAATGATAATAAACATTATACAAATAAGAAACCTAAATGGTTAACAACAAAAGAAATTCAAAAGAAAATTAAAAGAATAACAAGAAAATGGGAAAAAGGAGAATACGAAGAATTACTTAAAAAGTACGAAGGTAAAGAAAAGAAATGGTATAATATTCTCCAAGAAGTATATTCAATAAGAAAGAAGAAAACACTAGAGAAAATCAAAGAAGAATTCAAAGATAAAACAAAAGATTGGAAAAGTGAAGATATTAAAACAATCGAAGAAGAAATCAAAAACAAAAATCAAAGAAATGAATGATAGATGTAAAGCTGCGAGAATAATAAATGAAAAAGAAAATAAAAGGAAAACACAAGATAAAGAAGAGAAAATGGAAGAAGAAAGCAGCAAAGAAGAAATTAACACACTTCAAAATAAAATCAAAGAATTAGAAGAAACTATTAAAGAACTTCAAACAAAAAAGAAGAACGAACCATTTCAAATGAAATGATTCAAAAAGCATGAGATACAGTCAGGAAAGAATTTGAAGAAGAAATAAAAAAGATTCAAACACAAATAAACAATATTCAAACTATATATAATGAAATAAGAAAAATTCAAAATTAAAATAATAAAATAATTCATTACAATGAAAAATAAATGAAATATAAAATAGAAATAACGCATAACGATGAAATCATTATTTTCTTTGTTAATTATGAGATGAAGAAGAATGATGATGATGTGTTGAAGAAGAACATAAGAGATAAATAAAATCAAATCTCTGTATATCAAAAAAGTGGGATTGAAAACTATGAGATGAAGAAAAAACAAAAGAAGAATTAGACCATACACAAAGAGAAAATGAAGAACAAAATCAAATAATATCAAATCATCAACAATTTATTGTTTATTTTTTATTTCATAAATAAAGAAGAAGAAGACAATGACTAATGATAAATACAAACAAATACTGGAACATCATCATCTGGGACAATACAAATGAACAAAACTACAATTATGAAAAAGACAATTCTGGAAATAAAAGAGCAAAACACTGAGTGTCAAAAAACAAGAAATGATAATCAGTCAAGAAGAGAAGAAAACACAACAAATCAAACAAATAGAATTTTAATTGATGTGTTGTATTGTTTTGCAATTAATTTGTTAAATAAGAAATTAAATAAGAAATTAAGAAATGAACAAATAGAAAATATAATCAAAGTAATAAATATTAATGTAGATAATGATAAAGAATACATTAATAATATTAAAATATCACATAAAATAAAATAAACAACTAAAAGATATATTAAAATGAAATGAACTCCATCATAGAAGGTAAAGTAGAGTGTAACCCAATAATAAAAAACATTATCATAAAAAATAACTCTACTGATATTGATAATGAATATCTTAACTCTATCATCACTCAAGTTAAAGAAATGAAAATAGATAAATGTGTAAATATTAATTACTACTGGAAAATGAAAGAATCAGATAAATTAATTAGAGAAATAAATAATAAATGGGTATGATCAGGAGAATAGAAAATCTACAGGAAAATATGAAAATGATTTCAATGTGTATGTATTATTATCTCTAAAATAAATTTAAATGAGATAAATTTGATGAAGTAAAAGAAATCCTAAGGAAAATAAATAGATTAGAAGATCTAGTCAATAGAATGGTACAGAATAAAATGCATCATGAGATTAAAGGAACAAGATGCAGATGAAATTAAAATTAAATCACATGAAAGAATAAAGTACATAAAATATATGATGACGATGATTAAAGAAAGAATTAAATTTAATAAGAATGAAATTATCAGAATCAATACAAATAAAATCATGTTTGATTCTAATAACAAAATGAAAATAAAGAAGAAACACAAAATGAAATATACCCAAATAACGATATTATTTTAGAATATTTGAAATCGTTATATGAAACACAGGTGATATTAAATAAGGAACATTGAAAATAAAACAAATCACCTCGTGGAATGAAAGATACAGGAATTATGATAGTGTCATCATCTCAATGGATGAACTAAATCTAAGCCTGATGAAAATAAGTAATTGGAAAGCACCAGGTATTGACACTATATATGGGTATTATTGGAAGAGAATGTCATCATCAAGAGAGTCCATTCTTAATATATTCAATGAATGGTTAAACTTCCCAGAAAACATCCCTCTAGACATGGTAAGTGGAAGAACTATACTAATCCACAAAGGAGGTGATATGAACGATGTCATTAATTATCGTCCTATCAGTTGTACAAATGTAATAATGAAAGTATTTACCTCCATATTGAAAGAGAAGATTCACAATAGAATTAACATGAATAATGAATCATTAAAAATTAGTAAAAATCAATTATGATGTAAACTGCAATCTCTTGATGCTAAAGAACGATTAATTAATAGTTATATGTTAAAGCAGCAAAAAGAAGAGAAATACACAAAATATGTAGAGTCACATTATGACATTAAAGGAAAAGAATAAAAGAAACAAAAAATATTTTTGATTTAAAAAGTATTCAAAATTTATGGTTCATTCTTCAACAATTTTGGTTTAAGTTCAGCTGGAATTTCTAATTCTTTTGGGAATTCCCATTTGAAATCTGGATCATTTCTTCCAAAATGTCCTCCAACTGCTGTTTTTTGGAAAATAGGTTTTGTTAATCCTAATTCTTTAATAATCATTCCTGGTCTCATATCAAAGTTCTTATTAACAATATCAACCAATAATGTTTCATCACAAATTCCAGTTCCATATGTATTTACATTAATACTCAATGGATGTGAAACACCAATAGCATAACTTAATTGAACAAGAACTCTATGACAAAGTCCTGCATGAACTAAACTCTTAGCAATCCATCTTGCACAATATGCTCCTGATCTATCAACTTTACTTGAATCTTTTCCTGAGAATGCTCCTCCTCCATGTGCTCCCCATCCTCCATATGTATCTACAATAATTTTTCTTCCTGTTAATCCTGCATCTCCCATTGGTCCTCCAATAACAAATCTTCCACTTGGATTATAATATCTTAACATTTTATCATCCATAAGTTCTTTTGGAAT